ATATATATATATATTAATTTTTTTAATTCATGCTTTTTATTAAGCCATTGACATTAACATGAAGAAATTCTGTCAGAGGATAGCAAAAGTGTACATGAAAAGATGAAAATGAAGTACAATTGAAAAATACAAAGTAAAACAAATAGCAGGGGATTTATATCAACACATGTTTAACTCAAACATAGAAAGAGCTATAGAAATATGAAAAACAAAAAAAGTTGGATGCAATTAGAATAGCAGATGTTGGGAGAATTCACGACTCACTTTTTTTTTGCTGCATTTGTATTTAAAAAAAAATCTTTTTAAGAGAAGAAAAAAAGGTTTAAAGTCATTAATAAACCAATAAAAGGAAGGTTTCTCCATTTAGCACAGTGGATATGATATTTACCCAACAGCAGGATGATATTGCTAGTATCAGAAACAGGCAAGGGAAGATGGTCCATATAAAGAATGACATCATTTAGGGAAAATTGAGTCAAATCGTTGATTTTCAAAGAAATCCAATCATTCATCTCTTTCCAGAAGTGATGCGTAGGAGGACAGAGGTAAAACATATGTTCAAGAGTTTCACTATTATTATTATTACGATTATTTCCTCTCTACAATTCTATTCTTTTCTTTTTTTATCCTGCCACAGGATATTTTTTCTTTATAACTTTAAAACGTGTTTCTTTGATTAGGTAGAATAGGCCATTTAACAAATTTTGAGAATGCTTTATCGACTGTTTCTGAACTAACAGGAATAAATCTCTTCCAAGTAAATCTATCATAATCATGAAATTTTCTGGCTTTCAAAAAACTGTTAATGAATTTATTTTTGCTTTTTTTTTTTTTTTTCAAACAGATTGCATTGAGATATCAACAAGATGGGCAATATTGGTGGGTAATTATTGTATAACCTAGAATTTTTGATCAAGTGAATTAACGGCGGTGGAATCGATTTACACAGTTTGTTATACTCGTTAGAGAAAAACTTACATCATTTATTTTTTTTAAATCTGAATTATTTAAAATATCGCTGTTATCATTAATTAAATCTGTAACATAAATAATGTCTTTGATGAACCATTCTTCTTTGAAGATAGATTTACGATGAATTATTACTCTATTGCTCAATACAGTAGAGCTATGGGGAGAAAAGCTGTGGGTGAAAATCATTTTCCAATAATGCAAAATCTGCTGTGGAAGCTGGACAGCTCAACTAGAACTGTGTTTAAAGTTTAACTTAAAATTCTGTTTACCTAAGTTTTTTTTGTTTATTACATCATGCATAAATAAATGAACCTACGGTACTTGTCTTTCGCTATGCTGACACTCAACATACCCATACACGTATGCAAATCTAACGTCTTGTGCATGCGCATTGATTATGGGTGTGCTGGTCTGATGGGGTATATCCTGATCTGACAGAACACTGGCTGTAGCTAGATCAGTGCAACCAATTAATTGCAAGGTGAATCTATTTCTCAAACTTCTATGTTGTTCAGTTCTGAGCAACACTCACATAGCTCAGCAATTTTCCTTTGTAATGATACATTTGAAAGTACAGGGCAGCTTTTGGTCCCAGTAGGTTTCAGGCATCCTTAACATGTTAACATATTACAAGAAACAAAATGGTTATTTTTTTGCAAGAAAGAAATATAGTGATCTAAAAGCACACTGCCCCATTGCAGATTTCATTCTGTTTTTTGCCCCTTTGTCTTTCATAAATGTTTTAGATCATGTAATACATACAGATGACCTGAGTACACACAATCAACAAGTTTCAAATGATTATTTATTTTCACAAAAAGGTAAAAATAAAAAGGTATAAATCGACCTGGAAACAAAATTATTACCCCTAAACCTAATAATCTTAATACTGAAATAATTATTTATCATCCAATATAGTGCTTAACTACAACAACCATATAAACCTATTTTTAGATTTAATTTATTCATATTTTTTTGTCAATCTTCCTCTAAGTTGACTTTAGTCATCCTTATTTTAATTTCACCTTATTGGAGGTTTATCAAGCATAGACGCCCTGTTTAAGGTAATTTCACAGCTTCTCAATCTGATTTACCAAATCCAGACTTTGACTACACAACTTCACATCCTTTTTTGGGGGGTTGCTGGAGTACTTTAGATTAATGTGTATATAATTTGCTTAAGTTAAAGGTCACACATTTGCAAGAACTGGAGAATTTTAATATTTTTTGTATTCGAGTTTTATTTTTATGTTAGAAGCAATTGAGTGCATTTCTCCATAAACAAGATTTTGTGTGTTTTTTTTTTTTGTTTGTTTTTTTTTTTATAAACAACAACAACAAAAAATGCTCCAAAGGTGGGATCTTTTCACAGTGGTTGCTTTTTTCAGTCAGCAGTTTTTTTGGTCTTCCACAATCTCTTCCTTATCCTACTCCAATAAACTAGGGCTGCAACTAACGACTATTTAGCTAATTGATTCTTAAGTGGATGAAAAAAGGCTACTTGAAGACGTTTTTGACAGAATTTAAACCAAGGGAAGTTAATACTGTGGCTTTTGACAACTTCTAGCTAAAGCATATGAATGGATTAAGGTTTTTGATCTCAGTGTAACAAATAAATTTTTTTTACAATTTGGCTATAATAACTGAAGTGAGTGGGTAGCTCTTTAAACTAAAGGCATGTTTTAGTCTCAAAATTGAAGTTAGAAATTAATTTATTTCTAAATTAGTTGACAATTATGTCAATAATCGCTTAATCCAGTTAGTTGTTTCAGCCTTAAAATAAACAATTTGTTTTGCACCATTTGTTTTAGATTAACTGTAGCAAAACTGAATGGAAGACATTTTTGATGTGCAACTCACAGAACACAGTTTATTTACTTGTACTCAAGAATTGGAAGAGGTGTAACTTTTTTTGTAATTGTGTCAGATTCAAAAAAATCTACAGTTACAAAACACCAAAGTTACAATGCACAAATAATTTTGCAACAATAATTCTGAGTCATTTGAAGCAAAACTGAGAATGCAAGAGGTTTTTGAAGTGCAACTTGTAGAACAGAATTTGTGTACTTGTACTTAAAATTTGAACAGGTGTAAAAAAAAATTTGTAGGCTACTTGTGAATTTTTTTTAAATTCTACACATACAAAACTTAGAATGTAACTCTCTATCACTTACAATGCACAAATAGTTTTGAAACAAAATAACCTTCATATGTTTGTATTTCCCTCCCTTGCTGTAAACTTTTAAATTGTATTTTATTATCATTTAATATAAATTCTCATCATTATTAGTATTATTATCGTATGTACCGGTAAGCTTTCTTCTGTGTCCTTATTATTTCCACCAAGTGACTATACTGGTGTTTTTTTTTTCTTACATTAAAAAAAGAGAAGACAAGATATATTATAAACGTAAATATTGCAAGGCAACAGAGATAAATGAATAAATAAACAGGCAGTATTACAATGAAAACATACAAAATTTAAGAAAAAAGAAAAATTTAAAAAAGACAGCCTCGTTCTGCAACAAGATAATCCCTTAAATCACATTAACTTTAACATTTTGCTGAACTAAAAACCAGAAATTTTGAGATGTCGTTTCTTTTGTATTCTATAACAGACATTTAACATTTTTTAACTCCGCCCATTCCACCTTGCCGTCAACTCTGTCCGGGTCATCCTCCGGCTAACTGGTAAGGAACGCACCCCGTTTATCCAAACCACAGCATGACAAAAACAAATGTATTATTTATTTATTTATTTATATTATGATATAATGATCAGTAAAATGTGCGATAGTGTATAAAAAATAAATAAATGATAATAATGATTAAAAACACCTGAACGCCATTACCTACGTAATCAAAGCGCGACGTCGCGTGCAGCGCTTTGAAGGGCGCCGAGCAGAACTACGGGATAAATAACTTAAAAACTAAACCAAAGTCTGGATGTTTAGATTAATTTGGGTTGCATGAGGTCAAACCTAACATAAAAAGACGTTAGAGGGATTTAGCGCTGTGCTCTCATCGGTGTCGGTAAGACAGAATTTCTGTAATGTTCATCTTAATCCATTTATAGAAAAATTCAACGTTCATAGCACATAGTGAAAAACAAAAAATGTTAATTTTGCGTGCGTTGAGTGCTGTCATAGTTTTATCCGGTTTAAATATCAAGTTTTGGCAGTAGAAGGAGAATAATACTCTGTGTTTACTAAATGTGACGCCTACTTTAAGAAACACATGAACTAGCTTTACATTAATGATCTGCCTCGCTGTGCTGCTGTACATCATTTAGCCCCTTTCTGCTTTAGATATAGGTTGTTAATGGAAACATTTTCTCAACCCTTAAAAGAAAAGCTTTTGTAAAGTTGGAGGAAACGGCCCTGGTTACACTTTTTGCTTAATTGCATCCATTTTCTGAAGGAAGGAACCCAATTAGGAGGTACATACTATCCTCACATTCCCTACATGTTACATTGTCTAAAGTGAATTTGACTTCAGATGCATTAGGGGTTTCTTTAACTGGTTTTAAGGGGCAGTTAAACTATAATCCCTGAATGACAACCCCATACCATAATTCTACCTCCACCAAGGTTTAGATTAGGAGAGTTATAATAGGTTTGCAAACAAATATCACATCCAATGCGGCCTGCTTCGGGCAGCAACACACTGGTCTTGAGCTAATTTGAAGGCGAGGTGAAGTTAGGAGGTCTGCAGCTATTATATGCATCTACATCCATTGATCTATGTGGCACACTGCTCCTATTGTTTCCAACCGAACTATTGTTTCATTAAGGACTATTTAATTCTCTCTTCTTTTTTTCCCCTCCAGCTGTAATGGCTTTGAAATGTTTAACCCGAACTCTACGCTCCCTGACTCTCTCCCAGCCTGCTCTGCTCTCCTCACAGGTAAACACTTTGTCTGCAACAACCAGCAACCTGTAACATTACAGCCACCGAGTGAGTTTTTTTTTTCTCTTTGTGTGTTTTTAGGCGGCTGCTCAACCGAAGCTTGGAGCTCAGGTACCCAGCGCCATCAGCCTGTACAGAGGCTTCCTGACCACAGCCTCTCTAGAGCAGAATAGGACACTCTGGAAGAACATGGACAAGTACACCATAAAGCCGATGGGGATGAAAAAGACCGGAGGCAGAGATCATACAGGTAACACTGAATGATAATGATCCTCACCTTATTTCCTTGTTATTGCTTAACTTTTTCCTTTTGTTGTATTTATCTTTTGAACAGTCAGAGAAACAGTAAATAAGGATGTCTACATAATAACAAAAAATCCTTTATATAACTTCTCATGGTTTTGTACAGGGCTGTGATCGAGGCTATTCCAGAAGCTCAACGTTGGATTTCTTTATTATCCTAAAGCTAGTTTTAATTTTAATGGACTGTGTCCACCAAGTAGTTATACATTTAAAGTGAAGTTTAAGAATTTGGAGCTGCTACTTATTAACACAAGCCGGCCCGTAGCATGATACTGTCCCTATTGTGTTAAATAAAGGGTTTGAAAGGCTTACCTTCACTCCTCCAATCCTAGTTCATCTCTGTTTATATTTTCATCTTAAGACTGTTAAACCTTTTTTCAAGAAGCCATTATGATCGCCCGTGTAGGCAGCCACAAATTTCAGCCAGGTTTAAAGATGTAGTTGTCTTCTGCTGCTAGTGGCTTTTATTTTGAAAGTAGACTAACTGATAAAAGGATGGAGAAAGTTTTAAGTAGACGCTTTACCCCTCTCCCCTTAACTATTCCTTTAAAAGCTCCAATACACTGTTTTTTAAAAGCCTTTCAAAGACGACTATAAATGTATATAAACAAATTTTACGGCTATTACCAGGAAAGATACGCACACGGGGCATTGGTGGAGGCCATAAACAAAAGTACCGGTGGGTAGACTTCCAGCGGTTACGCTACGAACCCAGTAAAGAAGGTCGTCCATTTGAAGAGAAGGTGGTGGAGGTGCGATACGACCCATGCAGGTAAGATTTTGTCACAATTATTTTTTACTTGACTGAAGAGAAAATAAGCTATACATCTATTTTTTTTATTTTTTTTTATTGGGTAAAGGTCAGCTGATATTGCTCTGGTGGCAGGAGGCAACCGGAAAAGATGGATCATTGCAACAGAGAACATGCAGGCTGGAGACATCATTAAAACCTCTGCTGTTATCGGACGCATGGCAGGTATGAAAACCAGCCTCTCAGGTTCTTATTGAGGATATTTGAGGTCATTCTGACATTTTGTAAACTGTTTTCAGTATCAGCAAATGAGGGGGATGCCTACCCACTTGGGGCCCTTCCTGTGGGGACATTAGTGAACAACCTGGAGATACAGCCGGGAAAAGGATCGGAGTACATACGTGCTGCAGGTACTTCAGTTTGTTCCCATAATGTAGCCCGGACATCCCTGGAAAACATGAGTTACTTTTTAGAAACATTTCCAGTCAAGTTTTGCTGAACTTCCATAATGTATCAATTAGTGATGGGTTAAGTAGGCATCTTGAAGCCTTTCAACACATTATCAATCTGTATTGATGTGACACCTGCTGGACATTTAAAGACACTGCAGGTAGCTTACGGTATTTGACAGACTAAACCTGAATTGATTTGATGACCTATTACAGGGGTTGGCAACTCAAAGAGCCATATTTGACCAAAAAAACTAAAAATAAATCTGTCTGGAGCCTCATATAAAAGTCTTATATCAACCTTGTATGGCAACACGGGCTCTAAGTGTATTAGCCCACTATAGAAAAGGATTATGTGGGCTTAAATATATAATAAGCATTCATGATTAAATGTTTATCCTGGAGCAAATGTCACATAGCAGCATGAGGTGAGGGACGAGGAGTGAACGTTCTCACTGCATGCAGCTTCACCTCACGGTTTAGGTTCTGTTGCATTGATGAAATTATAGAAACACGATAAAGGAATCTTTCTATGGTGGACGTGTTTCTGTTGGGAGGAGTTGATTGAGTCATGAGGAACCGAGCAGAAACTAATATCCATCAGAGCAGAGCTCTATAACCCTAAAATCCGACATCCTCCGTCACCAGCGTTCCTTGGTGGGATTTATATTTTTAGGATTTGGGGGAAAAAATGGAAGAAAGTTCCCATCCCTACATCAGAGCACTACCTGTTTGATCTGTGGATGGGTTTTCCATCCTTGCAACAAAACTAGCAGCATTAGGGGAGTTTGGAGATGCAATCCACGTCTTAAAACTATCTTTGCATTTCTCTAATGTATCCAGAAGTTCTGCAATCGCACTTTTTCTCTCACTCCCAGATGGGTGGTCGGCTGCATATTTAGCCTGCCTTCCCTAGAAATGCCTTTCCAAATTTTTATTTTTATTTTTTGACAACCTCACATTAAAAAGCAAAAATTCTGGCACTCCTTCTGCATTAATAATAAAAGCAAATGATTCGGTCCATTCTATGAATCCTTTTTTCTCATCAGCTATCTTCCTTTTTTTTCCCCTTTGGGATCCATGGTCCGAGACACACGTTCAGCTTTGTTTGCCTGGCACTGCGCCACCCTGGGTGCAAGTTATGACCACTGACCTTCTATAGCTATGACTCAAATTATTTAAATTTATTTATTATACAAATGTTTAGTGCAGGCATCCTCAGACCTGTCCTGCAGGTTTTAGAGGTTTCTCTGCTCCAGCACAGCTGGTTTTAATTAAAAGCTGATTAAAAGACTTTTTGCTCAACTGCAATCATCAGAATCAGCTGTGCTACAGCAGGGAAACCTCTAAAACCTGCAGGACAGGTTTGGGGATGCCTGGTTTAGAGCATTGGAAAATATAATAAATTTTGGTTGGTTTTAAAAAGTTCCAGGGAGCCGGGGGTTGCCGACCCCTGACCTAGTACAATGATATAATTTAAGTTATTGTAGGTTATATTGTATTATTTCATATCTATATTTAAATTGAGAATATTTTTAAATGCAGCCAATAATTAATGTGAATGAGGATGCTTGTGGACTAGGATTTTAAATCATATTTTTAAAACCGTTAAATACAGTAAAAACATTAAATACACTTAGACTCAATTTAAAATTAACTTTAATTCAGGTAAGTTTTTTAGGCTGCTCCAAAATTCTTGATAATTTTAATGATTAACCACAAAATATGACTTTTTTTTTTTTTTAGTAGATGCATCATGTTGACAGATACATTTTTAAACACAGTTTAGTGAGTCAGTCAGTTAGAAACAACTCCTGTATCGGTCACGACTTTTTGGAAACAACATGCACACCTATAGTGTTTTGTCTATGGGCTCGACGCATGTACCGACGCATCAGGGGTGCTGGAATCACTAGTATCAATCAAGATCCATGAAAATTCTTGGAAAGTAAGCATTGGTTTTAGAAAAATCAGTTAAATTCACCTTTAAGTTCATAAAAGGTAACAATGAGGTCTTATGAGATACACAGACAGTGACTGTTTGGTTCCAGTGAAGTTCTAGAAAGTAACAAAGTTCTATGAAGGGGTAAACATCAGGATTAATGTTTTGAGAATGTAACAATCACCTTCCATGGAAGTTCAAGGAATTAATTACATTCCAGGAATATAGTCATAAATCTCTAGAAAGTAACCATAAAGTTTGATGAAAGTCCAGGGAAGGTAACCATCTGGTTCTAAGAAATTTCTCAAAACTTCAAAGTGACCACCAGTTTCTTTAACACTCCATGGTTGAATTAATTAAAATAGGGAAGTATTATGTTCTAGAAAGTAACTGACAGGTTACAGCAAGGGTCTGACAGTGCTACCTAGAATATTAACATTGATGCAAACTTATCAGTTTCATTTAAACTTTTCCACCTGGGTTTCAGGAACAAGTGGCGTTTTGCTGCGTAAAGTTAATGGGACTGCAATCGTTCAGCTTCCTTCAAAGCAGCAGGTTCAGGCGAGTCTGAATTTTTCTCCTTTTGAAAATCTCTGGATGCCTTTTCTCTGCTGTGGACTGACCGTTGCCCTTTGTGTCACACAGGTGTTGGAAACCTGCATAGTAACGGTCGGTCGCGTGTCAAACATAGACCATAACAAACGCATCATCGGCAAAGCCGGCCGCAATCGTTGGCTCGGTATCCGTCCATCCAGCGGTTTGTGGAAGAGGAAAGGAGGCTGGGCGGGGCGGAAGATCAAACCGCTGCCTCCGATGAAGAGCTACATCAACCTGCCCTCCATCTCTGCTAACTAACATTGGCTCCATTTATGTTTGGACTGAAGAACAAATAAAGACAAGCTGCTGTACGGAAGATTAAAAACTTTATTAAACACAACTGCCTGTGAGAGCATGAAAAGAAAAAAAATATATATAAAAATCCAAAACATATTTACATCTCTAATAAAACATGCAAAGTAACCCATATTTTTAGTGGCAAATTTAAAAATACTGTCATGTCATCTATAGTAGGGTCTGTGCAAAGACACTGGGTGGCAGTTCAAGTAACAGGAGCAATGAGATGGCATGGCTGAACTGGATTCTGACCTGTATTTTTTTAGCATAATACTGAAGGTTTAAGTTTCTTTTGCCAAGTTATGGTAACAAAGTGAGCATGCCTGCTCATTGATCCAGCCTTGTAAAACACCCAAATGCTACCTCTAGAATTAGGGGAGAAAAAAATGAGGTTAAATACACTGAAATAAGATAATTTGCTTATAAGTATAAGGGGCTTCAGCCTGCGAGGAAGTAGCTGGTTTCCTGACCAAGAGACAATACTGACTCATTTAAAAAGCAGGTTACAGGGAGAGACACACAGATGCCGTGTTGAAATTAAGTGGCAAAACATCAGGGAACTAAAGCCCATCAACATATAATCCCTATATATATAAAAAAAAAAACTTCTATTGACTATACATATAGGTAGTGGTTTCCTTTTCAAATATAACTTCTGAAACACTTCAGACTTAAGCTAAAGTGTGTCCCAATTAGAGTTACTATGCGTATAAAACCACATGAAAGTGCATCACAAAGTGAGGGAAATGTATGCGAAATAACGCTGCGTTCCGTGTTTACTCAGAATTTCTGACCACCTCATAGGACATTTCAATTCGTCTTATGGGTTCAAAATGGCTGCTACTTTCATTTATAGGAGTTTATATTTTCCTTAGATTCTTTATTTGCACTAAGAACAGCATAGAACACAATTTTTTGTTGTAGCATTGACATAAAAATGAGTATTGGAGCTCACAAAGCGGGGAAACTTGAACGCCATCAGCTCAAAGAAAAGTCCAGCTTCCCATTACTGAGTGAACGGAACGCAGCGTAACACCCAACAGTGTTTGCATTGTCGACTTCATAGTTAGGAGCTCTGGAAATATATTTGGCATTCATGTCAAGAAAAAAAAAAAATTACAATTTGTGCTTTAACTTTAGTGGAAGGTTAGGGGGTGGTTTGTAGCTCACAATAGTATATCTTGTAAATATTTATATACAGTAATAAAAAAAAAAAAAGCCAGTCTATCAAAGCTTTAGTCTTTATAAAAAGCAAACTCAAACAGAAGGCCCTTTGTCCAAAAAAAAAAGGTTTTCCTATTGCAAAAGTTTCACGTAACACTATTTAGGGAGTACCATCGGACGTAGTAGCACACCAATGCAGACACACAGGCAGCGGACTCATAACTGGCACAACTCCATTCTGTAAAGAGAAATCTTAAAAAGCAACTGATCTCCTGCGCAGCGCTCCAACCTACAGTCAGCTCACTCTAATTTACAGTGCTTTACAGCCTTTTCACATTTTGCCACGTTACAGCCACAAACCACAAAGTAATTTACTTCATATTTTAAACATTTGTTAAACTCTGTTATAAAGGATTACAAAAATAACCCTTCTTTAACAATTATTGGAGGAGCTAAAATCTGCTCCAGAAATGTCCTCTTTATGTAGGAGTGCAAACAGAATCTGCCGCAGGGGGAAAATTAATCATGTAGAAGGAGGCTCAAAATAAACTTAATGGCCTGGATAGAATGCCCTATGTGTGGCTAAAAACTAAACGCACCGTACCAACTGTTGCACACGGTGGTGGCTGCATTGTACTTTATGGATGCTTTTCTTTATCAAAGACGAGGCAGGTTTAAAAGATTTGATGGAAGCATTTTCCTGAATGGCTAGCTAAATAACTCAAGATAGAAATCAGCATCTAAAAAAATTCTTAAAACTGGACAGACTAGGTGGTGGCAGCATTATGCTCTGGGATGCACATCTTTAAAGAAGAGGATAAATGGAGGGCTAAACGCAGAGCAATCCTGGACAACTTCCAGTAAAATACGGTGAAGTTTAAAACTGTAACGTAATGAAATGTGAAAAAGTTCTAGGAGCGTGAAACGTTGGCACTGTGTAAATCTCTCTCACTGCAAACCAAACCCTCGATCCTCGCAGCATTTCCCCAATCAGCCGCAGCTGAGCTCTACCCCCCAAAAAAAACTATTAACTGCATGGTGAGGACATGCACTCACCTATGTTGACATTTGACCAAATATGGACTGTTAACACTTATGTTAGTCTAAATTAGAAACTCAGTAACATTAATACTGATCTCCACAGGGACCACAGACGCATTGAATGCACAGTATCAGCTTTGAATATCACACCATCTGGTTTGGCTGAAGAAAAAAGCTCTGGAGAACAGTCTGTAAAACCAGCTTTGGCACATCACTGCACGGTCCAGCGTTGGCTAAATAACTGCAGGTTAAATCGGTGCATCTAGTCAAACGCAGGGTGATTATTACTACATGGAATCTATTACATCCTGAAATGAGGCGATCGGATCCAACTAAATTTGGCGTTTAGCTAAGAGAAGAGTTAAAAAGCCTCCTTCTAAGTGGTTTTTACTGTAATGTCTAAAAGTACGCCAGCGCAGAAACATCAATTCTCAGTACGATGAACCGACGCCGGCAGGTTAGAAATATAATAGCTACATTCATCATAGCTACCTTCCAATGTCTCTTTTTTTTCCCTCTTGATTTGCTTTAGTGTGCTTCAAAGCAACAAGGCAACAAGAACTTTGCGCTCCTTCCTACTAAAAGTTTTCCATAAAAGTAAAGGGACGAGTAAGAAGAGAAGAATTCCATCGAGATTCACAGCAAAATTCCAACTTTCAACAACAAACACAAAACACGGCCTGTAACAGTCTCACGCACGCCACTGCACATCACCACACTCCTCCTTTGCCTAAAGAGTAACAATAAATGTCGGATTTCACAGAAATAATAGAATGTTAAACAAAAATCAAAGTGCAAACACAGCTGCCGTTACTGAAATGTGGCAATTTGTCGAAAAAACCTCAAAATATCCACAAAATCTTACAAAATTGTTCTTTTTGTAGTGTTTTAAAAAAAGAAGAAAATAAAAACAGCAACACCCAACAACATCAAAAACATCAAACGGATGACAAGATTTTTTTTTTTTTATATACTGAACATGTGGTTGTAAGTCAGTAAGATTTCCACAGGAAAGCCTTTACTTTTCCTTCCAACGGGCCTGTTGGCTCTGTGTGTAATTCTCTGTGGCCTCTGGGTAAGACAAGTGCAGCTGAGAGTCTGGTGTTTGACCGGACGGTGGCCTGGCGGGGTCACACCGGCTTTGTGTAACCAAAGATTCCCACCGGGAAGTGCTTGACATGCGTCGGCCACTGGGCGGCGAGCTGGAAAAACTTCACGTCGTTCCACTCCACCCCATCGATGTTGACTAAAACGACCAAATAGTTGTGAGGCTAATGCAAAAGACTTTGTTGCTTAAAATGACCAGCAGATGGCAGTGCAGCCTCATTCCTACCTCTCAGCATGGTGTGTTGGTGTTTCGCTGTGCAGATCAACCTGCTGATACCGTCAATCACTTGGCTCTTAGAGTCCAGCTCTTTCTCCTTGGGCTTCTTGCTGAGAAAAATCACTGAGAAGATGAGAAATGTGACGTCAGAACATGTTTTCCTATAGCTCTCAAAAAAAGACTGCAGCAGGAAAGTTAGTAGACATCAGAAGAAGGAGTGTTGGCCTAGTGATTAGAGCAGGTTGCAAGTATCTGGTACGATCCCCACAGCCTGCATTCTGGGTCTCTCAGCAAGACCCTTAACCTCACACTGCTCCCTGGGCGCCACACAATGGCAGCCCACTGCTCCCCGAGGGGATGGGTTAAATGCAGAGGTGAATTTCTCCAGTGTGAGATCAATAAAGTTCCATTATTATTATAAATTATAAATGTTGCATTGCAGAAAGGATGTAAAACTGAGTAGAAAATGTCTTAAATTTACTGTTTTCACCCTTAATTTGATTTGGTAATAAGGTGATCTGCCAATGCAAATAAGATAATTAGATATTACACACTTAAAATAAGAGACATGGGGTGATTTCTTCTTATTTTAAATTGTCTTATTTCATTGGCAAAGCCCTCACCTGCTCAATTCAAGAAAAAATGCACTTAATTTAAGAAAATTTAATTTAGATTTTTATTTGCAATGTAAAGCGTGTTCAAATGCTTATAGTCTTCTCCTGGTTACATATATAGATAGGTCTTAGTCCCTCAGAGGATTTAAAGCAGATATCTCTAAGGAGTCTGGCTTTTAATTCAAACATGCAAAAATGCAGAAGAAATGGATCTAGTGTTTAAAACAGAGGGATGATAGACTGATGGATGGATATCCACAGGCTGTTTTATCAGGATAAACTTTTCCTCTAAGCTCAAATCTTTTTTAGTAAGATGCATTTAAGATAAACTCAACCCTCTCTAAGACTGTAACTGTCCCTTTAACACCATAGATTGCAGGAATAGTTATATAAAAGTTTAATTTTGTGTGAAGTTTGGAATAAAGTTTATTTTAAAAAGTTAAATTTTGTGCTGCTGGTGGAGCGTACCTTTCTTGTTCTTCTCCTTGGTGACCACGGTCATGGCCATACTGGGCGGGGGAGTGAGTTCCCCTCCGCAGGGCAGCCGGCTGACTTGGAGCGACCGGAAGTTACACTTCAGGGTGTTCTTCAACCCCACGTCCCTCTTCTCGCCCTCTTTCTTCTTCTCTGAGCCTTGCCACGTCCAGTAATCCACCTGGAGCCCCATCACCTCGCTGCCCGAACACGGAGAGCTGCAGCGGAGGATGGACGGAGATCAAAAAGGATTTTTAAAAAACCCACCAGGGTGTAAAAATACCACAGGCATGAGGTAATGTTTAGTACCCAGCTCCTGACAGGGCGGTGGACACAGAGGGAGACTGCGGGGGGGTGCTTCCAATCTCCTTCCCATACGTTCCAGCCGATGGGGGTGGAGGGGAGGCCAGGATGCTCGTGTTGCCTCCCATTGCATCATCAGAGTCCACTGAAACAAAGAAACAAATTTCCACACTTCATGTTCTGATCAGTGAAGTGAATCAGTATTAATGAAGCTGAAACACTCAACACTTTGTCACAATACAAAACCAATCTCTATAGGTTTGATGGACGTCTAAATGCTAATCACAGAGTAGTGGGGGATTCATTTCCTATATTTTTTAGAACCACTGTTAACTAAGGTTTAAACCTCAGTTTGTAAAGTTATTAATCTAAACCCTTTTAGTTGCTTTTGTGTTTTTATTGACATTTTTCAGCTAAAAGCTGAACCTCCAACAGAGTCCCAGCTCTTTTTTAGTCGCATACTTGCTGCACTTATAGCTCAAATCATCTTCCCATGAGATCCAATTCAATTTTCTGCACTTATTAAAGAAAAGCCACCCCACATCATGATGCTGCCACCTCTCATGGAAAAAAAAAGTGTTTCTGAGGCAGTGGGAAGAATGAAAAGCCACATCAGGATGTGGGGAGGCTTTTCTCCATGCTGCCCTCTGGACAGAGGTTTTACAGCAATCGTTGCAGGTCCAGCAGGTTCTGCAACAGCTTTTTCCCTGCTGCCATCAGACTGTTGAAGTGTTGAAACTCTAATCTAGACTCTGCATCACACTTTTTTATAATCTCTTTAAAGGAAAAGTGAAAATGCATTTTGCACTATGACTTTAAATTGGTTTCCTTTTCTCCTACACTGTCTACAATCTTTATCATTGCTGCACTTTATAAATGGCAACATTCATTTTACTATTGTAAGCTGGATGCATCGATGACAATAAAATCTGTCCAAGTCTAATAAACTGATGGCTCTTAGTGGCTGGGATGTTCTAATTGTGAATAAGAAAGATAAAATCTTGGAGCATTTCTAACCTAATCCTTCTGTGCAACTTGGCCTGTTTGTTCACTAATGTTTGCTAACAAACCTGAGCAGCTGAATAGATGCTGAGATGGAAATAAACATCAATTAATTGTTTCAGAATCAGGCTTCTACTGTCGGTTTATTTTAGGGCATCATAGTACAGGGAGTTGGATGAAAACTCATGACACATTTTTTTAATATCTGTTTGTAAAACAGTTGGAAAACCAGATATTATTTCCTTCCATCTTAAAATTATAAACTCTTTTATGTTGGTTCATCAAAAATTAAATAAATAAATAAATAAAACACACTTAAGTTTGCTGCTGTAAAGTCACAAAATAAAAACAAAATAGTGAGCAGGAATTAGCAGCTTTGCAAGGCACTGTAGCATACAAAATTATTGAATGCATCAAATAAAAAAATATGATATGAGATAAAAAAAAGTTTCCTACTTGAGGTGGAAAGACTTTGCTCCACTATTCCAACTTTCACAACCTGCGAAAGCAGAGATTCAGTGTGAATCACAGCAGAAACGTCTCAAACATAACACTTCAGGAATAGAACCGTGAATCCTTACCCCAATAAATGGCACGAACTTCTGACAGGAATCTTCATCTGGGCTGTGAGAAGGGAAAGAGTAAAAAACTCAGTCAGGATGGGGGGGGAAATTGTCTCAACATCGCAGCAGCCGAGAAGTGCAGATGAACACTCAACGTTCCTGGAGGAGAGATGGCTTAGGAATGGCTTTCACCATGTCCCTTCGCAGCAGAAATGACTCAGGTGGAATATGGGATATTGTTGGGAGGGGATGTCACCTTACGATGAAATGAATGTGAGGACCGCTCCTTACAACCAGAACTAGAGAGAGCATTTCATGCTGGATCGAAACCTTTTCAAGAGTCTTTGTGCATTCTTAAGCAATGCGTTAAAGCAAAAATATCTAAAGACACATGCCTCTGCAGAGATAGAAAGACATGAAGTATCTTGTTAAGAAAACAGGAACTTAGGTAACAAAGAAATACTCAGAGGTAAGAGTACAACTCCTAAACTAGCTGGTTTCTCCAAAGGAAGAGATGGAAAACCTTTGCAAAGGAGCTTCATGGCTTCAAAAGACACATTAAAAGAACCAAATCTGCTTCATTAAAGGGTTTAAGCACAGTGATGCACTATATTATTTTATGGGCAACAAAAAACCTAATGGACCCTTTGCAAAGAAGGACCCAAAAAACCAAATGCAAACAGTGATGGGAATCTCCTCATGTCTTGCAGTCTGACTCTGCTGCAACTCTGATTATTGACTTTCACAGCCAGAACAAGTTTTTCAAAAACTTTTTTATGTATTGTTCTGACTGAAAATATTAGCATGTTGTGGTAATCTTCCAAAACCTGATAGATCAAGATCAACATCTTAAAGGGAAAGAGGGGATTAACTCTGTCTTTGATCAACTTGAGAATAGGGGTGGGTATTGCCAAAGAAGTCACGATTCGATTTGAATCACGATTCACAGGCCACGATGCGATTCTATCATGATGCATCACGATAAATGAATTATTGGGATGCATTGCAATATTTTCTCCTCTATGTTTTGTTTTTGAATGACTCGGCGCAGTATCTCACGGCCGGAAATGCTTGTGACACAAGGCAGCGTGCGTCAACACATCCGCAGCGACATCTACTGGACTGGAAGCTGTATTACACTTGTTTTTGGCTCGCCAACCATTCATGCAATTTTATTTATTCATTTTTTAAAATTAATAATCGATACTTGGCGTCAAGAATCGATGCAGTAGATCACGAAAATTAGAATCACGATGCATCATCGTGACGATTATTTTGCACACCCCTACTTGAGAATGCACGGTATAAATAAGACAGAAGCCAACATGTGAGACATCAACCATTTTGAAAAAAAAAATCTCTCTTAAGCTTAATTTTTCTAAGATGTTCAGTGTCAGATTATGTCGTCGTAATAACAGTTAAATTCAGTTTCCCCACATTTTTACCGCAGATATCAGTAATTATGGATGTCCTATATAGATGGTCAAACTTCACTCTGGAAACACACCAACTGGACCTCTAAAGGAGATATTAATGTTAGACTCTTTGATTGTGCAAGTGGAGACTCAGGGCCTATTGTGAGTTCTTCTGTCTGCACACAGTTGCTTAACTTGACTGTATGGGCGACTTTGGAGTCCAACTAAACACCTCTCCTTTACTCCACTCCTACTCATCAGGACTTTTCACCATCCTATCAGAACCAGCAATTTGACTTAAAACAGCTCATCCACCGTCTTTAATCACATGAGCATGACTTAGCCTGACTTAGGGTTCACCGTTATTCCTTATTTGGACATCTATTCAAATAAACCCACCTCTGAAAGATAAACCACATAGAAGCAGCAGTTTTAGTGTTTTGCATTCATTGAAAAACATCAACATAACTTATTCAACCATGTTTTCTGCATTTTCACTTCCATCTAAAAGTCTATTTTATGGACAAAATATTTGATTTATTCAATTATATCCATAAAAAAAGATGTTAGTTCAAGTTTGATACTTTTGTTTTTATATCTTGAAATTTTTAACATATTTTTTAGGTGCTGATCTGTTTTTCTACCTATAAGTTTGTTTATTTTTATTTTTTTTTAACTGAGGCTTTTTTTGTTAAGCCCACATTTCTGTGATGAAGATCTTTTGAAATTGCTGTGATGTAATATTCTCATCTAAATGTGATGTTTTCATTAGCTGTAAGTGTAAAATCATTGTAATTACTGGAATAACGGCTCTATAATATCACCTACATGATGTGGAGATTGAATAGTTTCTATGACAACCAAAGAAAAAAGAAATAATATATCTCATCTCAACACAGACCCAAGCTTGCGTCTGATTGGACGTTCAGCTCTGATCTGATGTCTCCAACCCAGAAGTGAAATCATCCTAAAATAGTTCTTATTTTGTGAAACTTAAGCTGTTTCAATACAAACAAAGAAGAAATGTTTTTTTTTTTACAATATGATTAATGAATAAAATTATTTACTTGATAGACTTGACTCTTCTACCTATAAATGGTTTCCACTCTGATTCTTGGTGAACAAAGGATAATCTCAGAAGTTACAAACAGAACTGGGTTCAATAAATCCTTATAATTCTTATACTTTTCACGGTTTGCTGCGCTTTAGGACACTAACTTTATTCGTAAAAGCTTGTTTTCCAGGTTGTTAGGCAAAACTTCACAGCAACAACACAAAAGGCGGAGTAGGAATCAAAGTCACAGCAAAACAGAGAGACGGTTCAGGACAAAGTGAAGTTAGACAGATCACCAAACGTGAAAAGGGAAATGTGAAGACACACGGCGAGGAGCTCTGGCCAGATGGAGGAGAGGGAATTAAAAAGGTCAAACAAAAAGAGCTGAGTTAGATACCTGATATAAAAATCAAAATACAGACTTCGTTTCCTTGAAAGCAAATCAAAGAGGGGGGGAGGGGGAGGAGAAGGAATGCAACAGTTAAAAACTGATGTTTTTAGTACCTTCTGACTAATAGGAGGCTGGGCTCACTAAGAGGGGAAGGGTTGGGTCAAATCTGCACGCAGATTCCACTAAATCTGTTTTCACATTAGACTACGTTAAGTATTAAAATAAAATGTAAATATTCTTCTACAGTGAATTAAAAAGAAAAAACAAAAAGCACAGTTTTTGGTTTATTAGGTTGTTGATTTCAGAAACCAGATGTTAGGCTGATCCCATCATTATCATCACAAAAAAATTATTGTTTAATGTATGAATGCTAAGAAATTCATGCAATAAAGTGGATAAATATACTTGAACAGCTTAAATTGCAATGATGGTCAGGATAAAAATTAGAAATGAATATCTATAGGTTGCACGAAAAAAAGCACAGATATAAACACAGATATTTCCACATGCATAGAGGTGCCGTATGATTAACGCTGGAAATAACACAGCTGATGCAAGTTTACCTCTTCTGTTTGTAGGTGAGCATGGCTTCTGAGATGGGGAACTGGTGGGACACGTTGGCCCCGGCCAGATACTGTATGATCCGTCCTGCTACATCTATGTTATCTGCAGAAAAAAAGATGGATGAAGAAAAGCAATCGATTCATAGGATGATTTTTATGTTACAACGAGACCGTTAGTTTATCGATTAATCCAATTACCATCGCTTTAGACAGAAATTAGACCACGCATACATGTGTCAGAATGCATAACAAACAAAAGACTCGTGGGTTTTAGGATTAAGGCAGCTTCTGTGAAGGATGGAAGAAAAAAAGGACCAAAGCCTTTTATTAATTCTTGTTAGGAAAGCTTAACGATGACTCAACATGCGTGTGAGAAGGCGACTGAAGAGGAAATTAGGTAAGATAAGAAGAGGATATTGGTAGCTGGGCTCGTTGGTAATTTAAATGTGATCATAGAGACAGTGGATGGAAACAGTAGCCTACGAATAAATAAGTGCAGCCATATAGACACAGAATAATGACAAATAGGACATTTCTAATTCAATTCAGGAGGTAAGAGCTGTTAAAGATGTCTAATATAAAAAATAAACACCAAACTAGGTGGATGAAGCTATTTGAGGACTGATGCAGGTTTTCAGAAGAACAATGTGAGAAAACCTGATTTAAAACTTTCTGCTGCAATAGTAAGAAATCCTTTTTCAGTGTAGCAGCCTGTGACCTGAGCTCTGACCCAGTTTCTTTTCCTTTCAAGTTGGCTGTGCATTAGACATGCAGAGTTTATTTTCAGCCAGAGATCAGAGCCACGAGTCCTACCTGATGTGGGCCGTTCCGTCCTGCAGAACAGCTCCCTCCAAGCTGTGTCCATGAAGATGTTGTTGAAGCGGCTATCAAAGGAGGCCACATACTTTGCCAGGGGATGAGAACCTGCGAAAATCCACTTAGTTAGAAAACAGTCGACATCCTCAGACGGATTTTGTCTGAATTCCAGTTGAGGTACCGATGGGGATAACGAGGAAGCGTATATAGCTGAGCCAGTCGGGGGTCTTATTGGCAAGCTGCTCCACGAAGAACCTCAGGATGGTGCTGAGGTAACTCTGGTCACCTGCAACGGCCACTTTTATCGTTGGAGGCGTCTGTGCATTACAGTTACAGCTAGAAGGGGTAAATATAAGGGAGGCAGTGAGTAATACAAGGAATGCCTTTAAGAAATGTGGGTCAGAGATGTGTGAAAAATTAAAGACTGTCTGGAAGAAAGATTTGCATCTCATTAGGATTCGTGCTTCAAAACAGGTCGAATTTTTTTCCCCATGAGCCACGTTGTATAATACCAATTTTACACCAGAGAGGACATAAATCTATCCTTGAGACTTGTTTCAACTTTATTTAGCCAAGATCAAAAGAGATGTCCAAATAAACATAAAATATCTTCCATTTTCTTTTTTTTAAAGACATAAGATAAGTATATAAAAAAAAATCAAACAATGTTTTTTTTTTTTTCTTTTAAGAAAAGCTTTGGAAAATGTTTTAAATCAACTTCTAAGTCCTTGCGGTTTTGAACACCACTATAAAACTACTTTTAATTGTTGACTTTTAATGATTCAACTTCAGAAAGTGATGAAGTCTTTCAACCCTCCTGTCAGGATGTCAACATGATGCTGCAGAGTTTTAGCGCGGCCTAGATAATATTTTAAACAGATAATTTTCCCACTATATTCTGTTGTGTAATTCAGCGCTCAGTTATAGAATAAAACAGAACAGAAAATCTCTTTATTGTCCCACGATGAGGCCAATATGTGTGGCGTTACAGCAGCAGAAGGTTATAGCAGAAGTGGTCACACAACGTGCAACTTAGAAAACTGTATAAAATAACTAATAGGAAAATAAAACAGACTATTTTACTTTACAGTGTTTTTACAATGTAAATACTCTGTATCTGGTGAATAAAAAAAAAATCAATAACAGCTGTGGACATTTTTACAGTAATAGATGTGTGAAAAATAGCAGCAACACCAGGGATGTGCAAAAAAAGGACAGCAGCATGTTATTTAACTGATAAAGACAGAAACTGTGCAAAAATCAACATGAATGTAACAACTTATTGAGGTTATTGGGAACAGTGGTGGTTATAAAGTCTTCCAGCTGCTGGGAGGAAGGATCTGTGATAACGCTCCCTGGTGCATTTAGGGTGCAGCAGTCTGTCAATGAAGGAGGCTAACTCTGTTTTCATTATTATCAGTGGCTTAAAAAAAGTTCTGGTCTTCTAAACCATTTGTTCTGCCTTTACTTTTCTATCAGAATCAAATGATTAAATCAAAATAACGTTCATATCAGACTGAACTAACCAGAGAGGATACAAAATGCAGTTTTAAAATGATTTAATTTATCAAAATAAAAAAAATAAAAAAAGAATAATCTAACTATCCTAATATTTTGTCAGAAATGATTTATTCCACTTCATTAGAAAATCATTCAGCTTGTGAGCACATGTTGCCGTTTGGGATCTTTTACCCTTTATGTTGTTTATATATCTGTTTATTTATTTTTATTTAGGTCCTCTGTCTAGTGTCTAATTATTTGGTATTTTACTTATTAACTTGCCAGGGACTATAGATGTAAAGTAGCCTTTGGGCTAATTCTGGCATATTTACCTTAAAAGTTTTCTGTCTGTCCATGTTAAATAAAAAAAAAAAATAAAATAATATAGGCTCTATATAAGTGACATATTGATTCCACAGGTCATGCAGCATTCAGGCTAGGCAGTGACCAGGGAGCCAAACCCAAACAAAGAACATTGGATATGACCTTAAATAAGCCTTTCATGCTGGAAAAAACCCTCTGAAGTAGCTAAATTAAACTGATCCTTCAGAGAAATGGGGTGAAATTCAACCACATATCAACCAGTTATAAGAGGTTATGAAATACTTTTTCATGCTACTGTATATAGAATGAAATGTCAAAAGCACAATATGCCCATCGTCATGGTGATGACATTAAATTTCATTCTCCTGTTAATTTGGAGGTTGTATTTATTCTTTAGTTTGCAGACTTGACATCCATTTTGCCATATGAATCAGTTAGCAAACATGACTTAATTTACTGTCCAATACATACATATAATCAAAAATACCTCTTTAATCTGAGCTCAGCTTGAGTCCAATTATAACACTATAATGTTGCGGCTTTGCCTTATTTTAGCTAAATTTTCCTTACATTAATATATTTGTTTTGAAATTTTTATTGGACGAATTTATATTTTTCCAGTTTGTTTTTAAACTAAACTTGGTTTAAAATAAAATTTACACTTATATAGTAGCACAAGGATTGGGGTTGAGCGACAGGGACGTGCATCAAAAAGTCACATTTGAGGTTGTTTTATGCAGGAGGAACCTTGAAATCCTGAAGAGATGATTAGCAAAGATGCTACATTTAGAAAGGAGAGGAAGTTGAAAACTGAAACTGTCTGAGAAAAGCAAACTGATTTTATTAGTCAAACATAGACAGCAAGTTTTGTAAAAGCAACCTAGAATCCTCTGAGGAAAAGCCCCCATAAACACACCTTGGTTGGTGGAGAACTGATCCAAACTAAGGAGGGGGCTAACACTCCTTCATTGAACGTGTCATGCAAACAAAGCAGGTGTATGTGTGAACATGACTCACAATCTCTGAATGCGTGTAACGATGGTGTTGAAGGCAGCCTGAACATCAGCAGCAGAGCAAGTGGAGACAATGGGCTGGCCCTGTTCATGGAGCAAGTCGGCTACATACTGCACAGAAACACACATCAGAGGGACACAATGGGTTAATGAAAGGCAGCAGAAGCTAGACAAACTGAGGCACCTTCTGCACACTAAAAACATTAAAGAAACTGTTGCACTTCTTTGTATTTTTAACAATGTGAGGCAAGATGTAACGCATTAAGGGCGTCTAGTGGGTGGCTATGCTTCTGTATTAGCTGTGGGTTTCAGAGCATCTGCAGATTTCTTGTGCTTAAATTTCATATTTTTGTCAGATAATATTTTACAGATAACACAGTAAATGCTTGGACCATTTTTTCTTTTGTAAATACAAATGTTAATTATAAGGGTTTCTGCATCGGCTAAGATTTAAATGAAATACACATGAATAATGCATGAATAAATGGATGAATGCAATAATAAAGGCACAGATGGACAGAGATTGATGCATGAGTGACTAGAGGGGTGCGTGCATAGATGCATAGAGAGATGGATGCATGTAGAGCTGCTTGAATGGATGGATAGAGGGAAGTATGCAGGGGTTGATAGGGGGATATATATGGATGGATAGACATGGATGGATAAATAAATGGAAGGAGGGATGGCTGCACTAATAGATTCATAATGAATACACTCCTGAATGAATAGATGGATGCATAGCAACAAAAAAATACAAGTTTGTGTATAAAACCCTGAATTATATTCATGAACAGATGGCTTTTCAGAGAAGCCACAAAAAGGTTATTCAAAGAAAACATACCTGTCCTTGCCACTCTGTAGTGTTGATGAGAATGATGCTCTCTGGTAGGCGTTCGTCTGAGATGAGGATCTGGTTTAGTTGGTCATACACAGATTTCCTGGGAACCTTGGAGAAAAACGAGGAGCAGAGACTCTGAAACTGATACAAGCAAGTGCATCTGTCATGAAGCGAAACTGGGACGGGTAACGTTTTACGTCGGATAGATGTTTACCTGTGCTATCAGTCGGGAGTCTGGGGAACACTCGCTCTCCATGCTGCTGGTTCTGTCACTCTGAGCCTTTGAGTTTTGTCTGTCTTTCATGGAGGTACTGCGAGGTCGCCTCTGCAGCTTGTTCTCCACTTTACTGAGAACAGGAAATGCAACCAGTTAAACATATGTGACAACAGACGGGAAGAGAGAGCAAGGGAACTGATAATCTGGATTACTTGCATGTATTAACATAGATATTGGCTTGTTTAGGAATACATTGATTTTCAGTTCTAGTGATGAGCTGCTCACCTTGGTGACATGTGGTTTTGTGACTCTGTTTTACAGAGCTTGCCAACGGTGCTGGGGATGCGTTCAGTGCTGACATCCCAGCTGTTCGCATCTCCCGCTCCTGATCCACTGTTTTCTGTCTCTGGCTCCTGGACCTAAAATAAAGAGGAGGAATAACCAGGATTCCAAACATGCTTCATGTCCAAATTCTATAATGCTCCAGAGTTAAAATATGAAAGTAAAAATACAAACGTTTATTAAAGATTTTATGAATCTTCTCATGCTAGAGCAGCTCTTTATATGTAAAAGAAAATAATATCAATAAATAGAGGAGAATAAGAATAATCCTGGATTTCTTCTTAACACAGGTGTCAAACTTTGTAGATCGATTTATTCCCGCTGCTTGATTTTTTGTTTTTTTGTTTTTTTTTATCTATGAAGGCTTGATTTTTGGAAAATCTGGATTTTTTATTTTTTTTTCCAATCCAGATCTTGGGCTTCTGTAGCTCAGAGTGACATCAGTTTTCCTTCGATGTCTACTAATAACTGATAAAATAGCACACTGTGTGACCTAGCTGCAAACATTTATTCTGTTATATTTTTATTGTTTGTTGAGAAACATCAAAGCTTGTATTTTGTTGCCCTTTAAATAAATGTCACCTCCCAGAAGGGATGATGAGCAAATAAAAAGCTAGTTTTTCAAAGCAGTACGTGTCATTTAAATCTTTATTGTTTAATGTTAGTGAGGAAAACAGATTACTTGGATTTGATAGAAAAAACAAAAAAGAGATTAGATTTTTAGGCCACACCCCTCTGTTTTCTTCCTTGATTCTAATAGAGGGCTGTTTTTGGCCTGTTTTTCCAGTGCTTAGTCCTGCTTCTCTCCTAGACATAGCTATGGGCTCAGCTTTTAGGGTGACTAACTCTAGGGTATGTCTTTCAACCCTTTGACATGAAAACTGGGTCAGAGCTTGTCTGCTTCACTGTTTCTTTTCTAGACTGAGAAACCAGAGAAACTAGCTTACCGTTACCTTTTCTAACACAGAAAGTATTTATAGATTAGTCTATGTTTCTATTATATGTCGGCTTCTTTCTCCTTGAACACCAGTCAGCCTCAGCAGAAGGCCGCTCACACTAAGCCTGATTCTGCTGGAGATTTATTCCTGTTAAAAGGAGACTGGCCAATAAGAACACACGCCTTCCCATTACACATTTTTCACATCGAGGGGAAATTCCTGACTCAAGACGAAAGATTTAGGTTTTTAGAAGGAGAAGAAAAAAGTTCAGAAAGACATCTATTTTTGAGAGTTTTCACTCCGATTGCAAAAAGAAAAACAATATTTGAGAGTAAAAATGTATTTTTGATAAAGCTTTTTTCCCTTGGAAATCATTTTCCAAAAGTCAAATTAGATTTTATTTATTGTCCAACTAAATATTTTCTCCCCAAATGTTTTTGTTCAGTTCAGGATAAAATCAGTTTTTGCTATCAGAGTGAAAAATTGTTTTTTTTCTGTTATATATTTATTTTAATTTCGAAATGATTGTCCCCTTTCAGATCACTTATTTCCTTGAATTTAATACAAACACAAAAATAACTCCAAATCCCACAGTCCTAAACCATGATATCCTTTGTTACCAAAATAAATCTTTCAAAGCATAAATATATTAATGCACTATCAGAACATTTTGCGTTTGTACAGCGAATTTTAAAAATGTAAAATAAAATTACAAATTAGTCAGTTCTTTTTCTAATTCTAAGGCCCCAGATTTGAACAAAAAGAAATAAATGAAGTGAAATATCGACAATATTCTACTAAATTTGAAAAACAACCTTGCCAGCTTAGTAAACAGTTTTTCAGCTAATTAAAACCCACGTCTCTCTCTGTATACATGGGGTACATGTAGTATAAAGTAAGATGCTGCTGATGCTTTAAGATACAAGCCCACAGTAACAGGAGAGATAGAGGGCAATGGTCTGTTAGCAGGTGGCTCAGGAAACAGCCTAAATATTCCCTTTAAATTGGTTTAGTGAAGTAGAGCGCTGAGATGGCTGACCCGGGCTCAAGGGGAGCAGGGGCTGAATGAAAAAGGTTAGATGAACCCAGCAGCGAGAAAACAGCAGGAAACTCAGAGACCCCTCTCTCAACCCTCATCATTCAGGTATTTTGTCTGCCCTTATATTCTCCTTCGCTTGTTTCTTTTTCTCAAAAGACCCAAAGGAGAAGGAGGCATTCGGGTAAAGAGAGTATGGTTAAGGAGAAAAAATAAGAAAAAGATGCTCCGGGAGTTCTGCTTTAAGCGATGAGCCATTCTTCCAAAAACATACCCCGACAGCAGTTTCAGTGATGCTGTCATCCTGATATCGGCTCCCTTGCACTTTACATCTATCCACAGTCAGAAACTCGCCACTCTGCAGGCAAGAAAAAAACAACACCACGTGAAAACATTTGATTATTTCCTTGATGGATGTTACTTTTTCGTTTTTAGGCAGTTCTGAGATATTTTTCATTTCAAATTTCGAAATTCATTTAGGCTAAAACTCCGCCAGATTGCTCCGCATATCCATCTGGAAACCTTCAGTTAAAGAAATTTTGGGAAGGGGCGAAAATACTGGTTAGCTGATTGGCCTATGTTGGTGATAGACGGGCCAAATAAACCAATCAGATCAACGAAACATATGATGTACTAACAGGCTACTCTTGCCGAAACCAGTCGGGAGAAGAGCAAAAACATATTTTCCTCTGAGAAAAGCCTCCAGAGCAGTGTTTTGCTCTTCTTTCAGTGAAGAAATACTCTGTAATTCCGATAAAACTTGCTCGATAGCCACGCTAACGCTAGTTTCATTGGCTGAAGCCACCATGTTCTTTAGACTGAACTGTCGCGCTTCTCGTTGCGTCACTCCTCAACCTGCCTCAAAGCCAGCGCTGATTGGACGTTCATTTGGTGAACAGCTTAAAAAAAAAAAAAAAAAAGAAACTAATTTGGTATTGATGCCAGTGTGGCTTTCAGGCTTTATAAGCAGAATATGCAAAAAAACAAAAACACTAGAAAAGAATGAATGGAGAGAAGGACAGCCCTGGATGAAGGGATGTATGGATGAAAAATGTCCACAACTGAACATAAAGTCAGGAAATACAAAAACAAAACAACACAAATACAAAAGACCAGGAAAATTTCAATTATTTTTTGTAGATTTTTTTTTAACAAACTTTTTAAGACTGAGGTATTTTGAGTAACCTAAATGTTTGATAGTTGTGCGTATTCACTGATTTCATAAACACGATTAAGCCCCTTTGCGTGCTCATATTTAAGCCTTTAAAACTACCTCTGTGGATCCTTTAAAATCTGGGTTAAGTCATTTCACTCTAAGATCAAACACTTTTTATTTCTTGCTACGAGACATGCTTATGAATTTCCATCGCAACACAACTAAATAGAGGGCTACAGCCGCTTAAATTGCTTTGGGCTATTTTATTACAAGCTCAAATAAATCCCCAGATATTTATAACCCCCCTCGTCAGATTCAACATGCCTTTCTTTCCCTGCCTGTGTTGTTCTAACGGGCCATAAATCTGTGTAGGAGTTCAGGGCCGTTCCATCTAATCTTCTCTCCGGAGTGTGGCAGCATAGTTGTGTCTCCGCCTGTGTATTGATGGTGCTGGAAAGGTCATCTGGTGACACTCCCTACAAATACTAAGAGCCTGCAGGGGCGGACGGGGCCAGGGCTCACGTCTTCATCCTGTCCTCAAGTGGTTGCATTGCACTCATGCTCAAACTTTTGTAAACTCAAGGAGCTGAATGCTCACAAACAATGGGATTTTTCTGACATAGGAACCTATAAAACATGTAAACAATGAGCCTAGAAGACAGTTTGTTCATGTAGTGAATAATCATTAACTTACGGGACAGGACAGCTCTCTCTGCTGACTTTTTTGGCTGTGCAGGCTTCCGATCTCTGTCTGAGAGCTGGAGTGAGACATTCCTTCGAAGAAAGGCCTAAAAAAGACAGTGTTTTAAATATTAATAGTTTAAAAATTGAGACATAAACAAAGAGAACAGAGCTTTAAACTTTAAAATCATAATCTGTAACATTGTGTTTTGAAAGTACTGACAAAAATCATATATATTTTGGATTGTTTAAAATATTGAGGCTAGTGTGTAAATATTCCTAAAATAGATTTACAGACAGCATCAATCTTTAAATAAAATTGAAGTTGGAGCCACTTTATGATCACAAGTAAAATACAGTTAGATGTATGAGGGTAAAAAAAATGGATATTAGCCTTTAATTCAAACAACAGAATCAGTTTTTTAACTTGGATAAACTCCCTGCAAGTTGCTGCTATAACACAATGCCAATATATCAGCAACATCTCCACCATTTACTGGAAAATGAAAACAAATGCTTGACCTCAACTAATTTTAAAATAGTTTCACAAAGCATTAGTATTATTATTACCAATATATATATAAAAAATACCTGACATTCAAGGCCATTTTGGCAAGTTGTTCAAATTCTTTTTATTTTTCCAAGTTATGTCAGTTTCTGTTGATTCTAGTTTCCCCAAGGTTATGTAGTGGGGTCCCTGTTATTTAATACCCATCTTTTCAAATATTGTCAAGTTTTTTTTAAAAGGCTGGAAAACATACTTGAGCTTGGGTTTTGGCGTGCTCAGTACACTCTCATTGTCCTCCATCTCTGGCCCACTGTCACTCTGGTTGTACACCTCCAGGCTGTCGTAGAGCAAGTCCAGATCCTCTTCAACCTCCTGGGTCTGGTCCACCGGGTCAGAGTCGAGCACCTAACAAATATGCACAATAGGTATAGACTCTCAGATTTTTTTTAAACAGAGATCTGCTTGTTTTAATGTCACCATCATTACTGTTGATTTTGTAAGAGATTATCATAAAACTCCTCTCTACAAGCAAGTATGAAAAGAAAAATTTTATATTATTTTAAGGTCAAAAAGGAAGTCATAAAAATAGTAAATCGCATAACAGGACAAACTGCCTCCTGAAAACATATATACAAATGTTTGGGTTCAAACTGACTGTAAACTGACTTAACTTAAATCTATTATAGAAATAGACTGCATACATGTGCCTCTATGGATTATGGGTTTTCGATGATACCCAATCTTGAATTTTCTTCAATAGTGGTATCCATACAGATATTAATATTGGACTGTGCATCACTAATAAAAAAAAACGATGGAATCCTAAACACTATGTTAGATTTTTTGAGCATGATAGTTAAAAGGTAGAAGAGTGTTACAAGAGCTAAAATGATGCAAAGTGGGGATTATATCATAGGAGTGCAAGCAGCCAGGCTTGTGGACTAATCAGGTGATTAATGTCACTCCATAAGAGCAGAAGATGGCAGAAAGCAGATAAACAGTCTGTCCCTCCGCCTCTTCTGCCTGGGTATTTATAGAGCTGAAGCCTTGCACATTATCCAGGCACAAGGAAAAGATTAGTGACAGTGAACGTGATAAAAGATCACTCGGCTGCCTGAGGCTTTAAGAACAATCAAGACTAATACAGTACTGGAGTTACTGTAAGCGAGCTTATTTAGAAAACAACAATGCAAAAGTCATAATGGCCCTCCACATATACTCAAATTAAAACTTTAAATGTGGCTGTAAGGAAGAAGGAAAAGGGTCAAATATATCTAATTATTTTATAAATAAATATCTAAAAAAGTGTGTGGAATATTTGTTCTGAGCTCCCTTGAGTAAAGACTTGTAGAACCTTTGTGGAGCTTTAATATTTAGACAAGGAAAGTTTGGTCTGATAGTTCTAGTCCGACTTTGATTGGTCTTTAAGCTCTAACAGGTAAAATGTGAGAAGGTTCTAGGAGTACGATAATCCTAAGATACTGACAGTCATATAGAAAGAGAAACAATAACAGGTTATACTCTGTTTTCATAGATTACATTGTAAAACTAAAAATGCCCAATAGTCTAATGTGGTTTAAGTAGTAATAAACATCTGAATCTTAAAACACAAAACGGCTGGTTTACAAACACCTAATTTAAAAACCTTTCAAATTAATTCATTTTAACAATACTATTTTTACAAAAAGACTGTAAATAGATTCTTATGTGAATGACACAGGGATTTCTTTCTCTCTGACCCCCCTGCAGTAAAAGCCTGCTCACACAGTCAATACTGGGATTATTTTCTGCAGCCTCAATGGAAATCTAATAACTGTAAACATCACAGCTGACTAAGTGGAGACAATATAACAGCGTGGCTGAGAAATTCCAGAAGAAGACCCAGAAAACAACACAGTAAGAGTTTTCTTTTGTGCTGGAATAATATCTGTCCGGGCATCAACCCAAACAAAGCGGTCACAACTTACCTCGTCAGTAACCTTGAACCTCTTCAGCAGAGCAACAAATTTCTGCTTAAAATTAGGTTGCTGTAAAAAGAGAGCGAAAAAATGTACAATGAGAGGAAGAAACTCTTGAAATAAATGTAGCATTTAATAGGCGTGCCAGCTGGCCTTAGGTTTATAAATGCCCCTTATTACTAACGACTGGATTACCTATTTCATGTAAAGACCATTATAGTCAGTTCAGCGAGCCCACATTGGTCATTGAAATGCTCATCCACATCCTACTAATGGCTCGGACAAATGGAACACGCTGTTCTCCTTCTCTTAAAAGCTTGTGCAGCAGTACGCTACAAGTTTTATGTTATTCTCATGGTCAATGATTGGCAACAGAAGAGGGAGCAACTCACCCTGGTCATGGAGGTGGTTCGGATCATTTTCCTACGGGGTTTCTTAGGCTTCCGCACTTCGTCATCTTCATCATAAATATCCTGACATTAAAAAGAAACAATAGGAAACAGAACGGATTATTCTGGGAGACTATTATGACACAAGACTCTCATCCTATGTAATGATTAGCAGAAAGAACATTCAGCTCCGAGCAGATTATGTTTCCCAGCTGGGGAAAATCATCTCCCAATACAACTATTATTTAACAATAATGCCGTCCTTGCACAATCTTTCAGTTTAGTGGATAAGCATGCGTTGGTAGATTTGCAAATATGCCACTCTATTGCAGTTCTCAATGTTCCTCGATGGCAGATGGTTCTTTTTTCTTTTTCTTTTTAAAAAATTCTTCAAATATCTCCATACAATCTTCACAGAACAGCTTTAATAAAAAAGGAGATTTCATTACTTGGTTAAGAAGCAACCTCGGAACGTAACATTACATTTTATTGAGGGTTTCTGGAGTAAAGGGGCCTGACATTAACTCAGGTTATCACATAAAATTGAAATAAATAGGAAAAGATATTTTTGAAGCTACTTTAGTGTGTTCGAAAAGGCAAGAAATACATATAACACCAGATTTCAATGACATTTGTGGCACTGTCACAACATGAGCATTTTCTGGCACCAACCTGGGCATTAACTGCGTCATCACTGGCCTCCTGCTCAGACGAATAGCTGTCGTCATCGTCCTCTGAATAATTGTCCATATCAGGGGAGCGGTCTAAGGTTGGAGAGCCACAAGGATAAATATAAAGATGTCAAAATAAAGATATGGATGCAGAGGAAATTGTGAAATATAGAAAAAAACAATTTCTCACTAACTCTTAAAATCTTTTTGAGTTGTTCTCAAAATGAGAAAATGCTTATTAAAAATGCTGCCAAGTTTATAGTGATAATCTTCACTTCTATTTACTTCTAACTAGTTTTTTTGTAAGCACTTAATAGCAATGCAAATATCATTACATGCTACTTTAACTGGAGCTCTTTTAGAGTCTCAGCAAGACTTTTGCCATTTTCATAAAAAAGACAAATATTTCTAGTTTAAAAAGCTGTTTTTTTTCCATCTGGAACAGCTTCTTTGGACTTTCCTGTCGCCTATAAAACATCCTGTTGCACACTTCTAGGTAGGATGGATGCTATTAAGGATCAATGCATGGAGACAGATAAACATCTTTTCTTCCCTCTCTTCCCTCAGAGTGACAGTCCTTTCATGCTTGGTGCATGAGCTCATGTGTTATGTTTGAGCAGCTTCCTCACTAACATCCCAAACAGTGTCTGATCAGCACAGTGGTATAATGCCACAGAGTCTGGACCGGACTGCGATTTCACCCCACCATCGCTATCCAGAAATAGAGTGGTGAAAGGTAATAGTCCCTCCATCTGTTCTGGTCTCATATCAACATTACAGCCATGGCTGAAGAGAATAACACATCTCTGGCTGCGGGACAGCCTTGGATTAATGGAGTTTATTCTGTTCTCGGTACGGAAACTTGAGCCAGGTGGAAGAAGGGAAGAGAGAGGCCACAGCAGGGAGGACTGGCTCTGGGGTTGGAGGCTGAAACACAGACCTTTCTAACAGACCCGAATAGGGAGGCAGGAGAGGGCGCTGCCCACCTGAGGTTTTGGTCTTTCGGCAAGCCTGTCCGCTGCCGTCCTCGTGGTCGATGGGCTGGCTGGACAGAGAGTAAACGCTGATCTCTGCCACGCGCACCGGGGCCTCCTTCACGTTGCTATGGAGACCGAGGATCTGTCCCCCGTCTGTTGGGTGTTGCATCACCTAAACAACGCAAGATTGAGACCAGGAATCAAATATGCAATCCAGGCTTCTAAATGAAATTTCCTTTGTATAAAATGAGTGTTTTTGTTTTATTGTCTCTCCAAACGACAATGTCTGAGATAAAAATGATATATTTAAACATCCATAACTAATCAGAGGTCTGGCAGCCGACTTCAAGGTGACAGCTAGCCTTTCATAAATAAACCTTTATCAGAAAACTGCTTAGTCTAAGGGACCCTCTCATCCACCTCATTATCTAGACTAGCAGTGCAACACGTGTTTTAAGATACAAATTAGATGAGAAGGGATGAGCTTTCAGTCTGAGCTCTATCCGGGGGGTTCGAGTCAAGATTCCAGCTGATGGATCATTGAACAGGGAGCAGGCTCCTTTTTCCTTAACCACCAGCAGGGGTCTACTTCAAGCAAAGCCAAGTAAGGCACTTCCTCCCACATGATGCTTGCAGAGTTTCAGAAAAGCAGATGACAACACAATTACCCTACAGGGTCCAATAATGGCCAATTTGGTTTTATTCATAAAAGGTGTGCGGGTTATTTCCCAGCAGCAAACACAGGGACAGCAGAGCAGAGCAAAGCAGAGCACGCCGTGATGCATTAGATGACAATCAATTCCTGCTCCAAGGCCGCAGCGGGGCAACACCTCTGGCTCAGATCGACAGCGATTAGAAAATGAGCGATAACATCCGGGCTGCTCCAGGTACATATAATGGTTCATATAATGCAAGATTAATTGCAAAAGTAAGCATACTTCTCAACCAAGCTTACTTGCTTTTTTTAAAGATTATTTTTAGGGTCTAGTGACCTTTGTTTTGTAATTTTAGAAAGTATGTAGACAGGAAAGTGGGTTACAAGAGAGGGGAGAGACATTCAAAGGTCAGCAGGACTGTGACTCGAACCTGCGACAGTCGGGTTGCCTCCAAACCATAGCAGCACCCAACCTCTCATGTTAGATCTAGGGCCGCAACGAACAATTATTTTGCTTTTTGATTCATTTGTAGATTATTTTTCGATTAATTGATTAATAATCGGATAGCAACAGGTTCCTTTTTTTAGATTGAAACCAGGTGAAACAAAATCGTCTCTACTGGAGGAGTTCTGGATAGAGCATATTGTCAGACGAAAATTTTTATATTAAATGTAAAATATGTATATTTTTTTTACATTTTCATATAATTACTAGGGATGCACGATATAATCGGCCCCCTATCGGTATCGGCCTGTATGGGCCTTAAAACTGAATATCGGACATCGGCCACCCCACGGATATTTAACCCAATATTTGATCCGTTTCTGAGTTTCTAAAGCCTAAAAAAAAAATATATATACTACTTCTTCTTCTTCCTCAAAAACTTCTTTTTTACAGACTTAAAAACTTCTAAAGACGAGGGACAAAATATTGATACATTAAAATATCACAATATCTCCATATGCTGATATATTGCCATTTAAAAACACCATATCAATCTCTTTTACTAATGAAATATTGCTATATGTCATCGTTATGCTACGAAATCCCCCGAAAATTCAAAAAATTTTGCCATATTTTAATATGTTGATATATTGACGCGGTATCGATCTATTTTACTAACAAAATCTCACAAGAATTTGCAAAATATCACAAGTTTGTAACAGAACGATGAAATTTCACGAGATTTTGAAAGTAAAATAGATCGATACTGCGTTTTTAAAAATCAATTTGATATCGGCATATGAAAATATATTTGAGTATATTATTTTTCAAAGTGTCAGAAATGGATAACAAAACTGCTATTTTCAATGACTACTTATTTTTGTCCAGCTTTAACATCGGTATCGATATCGGTTATCGGCTACATGAGTTTTAAAATATCGGCTTATCGGATATCGGCCAAAATCCCAATATCGTGCATCCCTAATAATTACTGCTTTAAGTGGGTTGCATTGTGAGCTAAAGGGATGGATTCCAGTCTCTGTACTCCAGTTAACGATTATTCAGTTACTAAATTAGTTGATGATTATTTCAATAATCGACTAATAATGATTTATCTGATTGTTTTAGCCCTAGTTACATCACAAATTGTATGCAGCAGACTAACAATAAGTAAAGCAGCGATTAACTGGGAGATGATTAGCTTCCAAGCTTCAGCTAAAGAAAGGCTTCCCCACAGCATAATACTGCCGCTGCAATGCCTTCAGGGTGACAAATAGGTGGAAACTATTTATTATTGGTGCAAGACGGTGGGTAAGAAATTAATCATCTAGGGGTGTCAGAGTAAGGGGGATAGAACGGCATTGAAAATCCTGCAATACTTTGTCTTAGTTCATCACTTCAAACCCCAATAAAGTAAACTGCAGCATGGGATTGTAGGAAGACAAATTAAAAAAAAAAGACTGAAGGGGTATTAAGTGTTTTGCAAGAAGCTGACTATCCATTTTCATTTCTGCATCTGTTCTATGAGGGCAGAAACCAAACTATCAATCCTTTAAACATGCAGGGATGATGATTCTGCTGTCTAAAAGGCAATTATTTAAAGAAGGCATGATATCAAATTGCCAAATGTGCTTGTTTAACAGATTTTTTTTGGCTGTATTTCCAGCTGAGGTTTGGATCAACCATATAAATCATCCTTTTCTTCTTCAAACAAGCAACACACTCAGGCTCACTTCAGCAGCGTAGAATTGCTGAACGCACTGGGTTCTTTTTTTAGAAAAAGCATATATGAAGCAGCCGCCACATGGTCGATCATTTCACACAGCTCTGTCTGATGAGAATGAATCACAGGAGCTTATTTTCTCTGGCAAGCAAAACAAAGTAGAATGCTTTCACTAGTCTGGAGCAGAACGAGAGGATCCTGAAGTAAAACGACTGACAATGACACATGAAATGAAGTGAAGCCGAAGCATCAGCTCAGGCGTTCCACTAGCTGGTACCTCGGCCATATTGATGACTCCCACGGCCAATGTTTTGTAGCCCAGTATGGTTCGATTCTTGTAGCGCTTTCGTCTCTGCAGCATGATTTGCAGCCTGTTGGCGTCCCTCTTTAGGAAGTGGGGGTACTGAAAGGACAAAGAGGAGAAACAGGCCTTTTGATTTTTTTATCAGCTTATGTAGTTCTATAGAAAAAAGAATCCTCAGATATTCAATCATCTTAATATTAAATATGAATCCTCTGCTTAGAGGTTTGTTCAAACCAGGATTTCTTGTGTTTTACTGCAGTCTTCGGTCAAATTAGCAAGACCGACTGAACTATAAAGCAATCCTTCCACAAGAACAACACAGACAACGGAAACAGAACGTAGTCAATTTCTTTTTATAGTTGTAAACCCATAATTTAAATATTTAAATATTAAAACCCATAACTTAACCATCACATACACTTCCTGTCCTTTTATTTTCACAAAGTTCTCATTATAATAAGACCTTTTATGTTCTGTTTTTACAAGCCAGTTGAAATTAAACGCTTCAACTTTTTCAGAGGAAGTTTTACGGTGGCCATTTTAAACATTGGGCATTGCAAAGAAAACAATAAAAAATATTAATAATGAACATTTTCTTTTTAAAATCTATCTTTTTAAAACCTTTCATTTAATGACTCCTGGGTTACAATCCTGAGAAATAAAGAAACACAATACATGATCATACAAAGCAAGAGTAGGTTGCAGAAGAGGAATGCAGACTGTTTATGATGAGTTTACAGAAATTATGCAGCTGAATTAAAAAACTGAATTTAGACAACTTGTTCTGCATTTTGCTCTGAACCAATTTTTGAGGAAACTTTTTGGCCAAAACCTGGCCTAATGTTTGATGCTCCCATTCAGTATCAATTTTATCTCATCCTATTTTAAGCACATTTAAGGATGTCAAAAAAGTCATGTTTACACGATGGACTGAAAAACCAACAAAGAAAACCTAAAAAGTTCTTTAAAATCAACCATTTGCATGTTAAATTGATTGTTTCTCTTAAACATTCCTTTAAAACTTTAAATTAAGTTCATCTTCAGTTTATCTATCCAGGTATATCTAAGTGCACAACATGATGAATATTAAAGTGTTTCACTGTTTTGGAACAAACAATGAGGAACAAACGGAATATGATTATACGGGAGACAGTATTAAGAAATTTCTGCCTGAAAATACCTAAAATAAATCAAGAATAGCTTCACAGTTACCAAAAATAAATGCAACCTTTTGGTAAGATTTTAAAGGTAGGAGAAATTATATTTATTCAATAGAAACACTGTCACAGCTGTTCCTATGGGACACCTCGGATTGTATCCGTCAGCATTTTATCTGCATTAAGTTGGGACTGAAACAGCTGCAGTATATCCGCTCCACCATGGGAGAATATCCAAACTGTGTGCTTTTACTCTCTTAAAGACAATCTGGTCATATAAAAGTGCTGATGTCTAAATGTGTTGGAGGCAATGGGCCACAGCTGATGCCAACCATGCACATGTTTTTTAGGAACTGCATTGAGATAAAAACTTTCTGGTCTTCTATCCACCTTACCCTCTGAACCTAAAAGCCATAATTTCAGGGTTTGAACCTTCTATTGTGGTAAATCATAAAGAGTTCATTAAAAACATACTCATATCTTGGTGTATTGTGTGATTTTTAATGTTACGTGGAAAGGGCCCGGAGGACTTCATTAAATTGACCCAGGTAGGAACTGGGCTTACTGTGTGTTGAACCGTGTGAAAGAACATTCTTCCACAGAATGTAGCCTTTAAAGTCACAGTGATATATATCTATGTGAGAATTTGCGGGGGACTGTCAATGGACTTGCCTGTAGTGAGAAGGTGAGCTCAAGGTCTGTCTCCATGAGTCCGCTGGGAGGGAGGACGTACTCGTTTGATCTCAGAAGTCGCTTTGAACCCTGTGAGAGACAAAAAAAATTAAAACTTCACGTTTAACACATAACTGTTTAATTTAAACTCAAAGTTCTTTTAACAGATGGTAGTTCTTTCATAAGGTCATTTATTTGGTATTTGGACTCAGCGGAGGAAGTGGCTGAGAAGTGCTGTCCAAGCTTACATCCATCATGGACGACACCTTTCACCCTCTGCACCAGACACCCTGTTTGTAAAAAGGAGAGCTACCGCAGGTCATTCATCCCTGCTGCAACCAGACTACAAAGCAACACTACAACGGCAATAACTTGTGCAATTTACTGTTTAGTAACCTGTGCAATAACCCTTTTCTTTATATTTGACACCCAGTGCAATAACTATACATATATATATATATAAATATACAAATATACATCCATATAAAATACCTATGTAAACACCATGTGCAATAAGCCTGTATAATAATCCTGCAATAAAAAAAATAAATAAATAAATAAATATTTGGACTGTAAATACTGTCTATATCCCATGCAACTTTTTCTTCCTTTGGTACCTTCTTCTTCTCTTTTTTAATATTTGAGCTAATGTAACAAGTACATTTCTCCACTGTGAGATCAATAAAAATCAATCAAGCAATCAATTTAAAGTTGAGAAAATATTAAGTGGGATCTGGTTAATTAAAAGTAAGAATCTAAAATTTGCTGTCTGCTCTGAAAGAAATGCATCTAATCTAAAACAGGATGAGCTGAAAATAGAAAGATTATATCATAGCAAACAAATCCTTTTAGACAACAGTGACAGTCTTTTTTTTTTTTCTAGAACTGGCTTGCTCCACATTCACACATCCATGTGGATTCACACCTTAGCGTACCCTAGAACAAACAGTCCTCAACCCCATCACTTTTCTCATGACAGCTTCTTTTTTATGGAATAAAAATTAAAAAATGCAGCAGCCACATGTTTAACCTGCTATGATGCTGCTGCCAATGTTCTCTGTGGGAGTAGCACTGCCACTATTTGAAGCTGCTACTTGAAACCACATTAAGCTTTCTTATCTAATGCTTGCCATGTTGCTTAAGACAGACTCATCACCTGAGCTAATTCTGGAAGATGGCCGCTTTAAGGATTTAAATGCAACCGGTTGTAGCAGTCTATTCCTGACAGAAGTCAGCATAACAACACAAAGCGTGGCCCCAGAAAACCTCCATCAGGCTTCGACAAGCTCCTCTTGCATGCCATGGATTTAATCCATGATGTCACATCTGAGTTACAGATTTCAGATTATTTTAACAATCAATCTTGCTGTCCTGTTGGTTGTAATCCGAAAAACAGGCCAACCAAAATATGATGCCATAAAGGGCCTGTCAGGTTATGGTAACTAAGTTATGGCGAGCTGGTTGTAAGCAGACTTTGTTTTGCAACACTTCTGGCAATGATTCAGTGAAAGTATAGGAATTTCACAAATCTTTCAAGCTTAGTCAAGCGTGTATCTGGTACATATCCCAATTAACAAAGAACCTCCTCAGGGATAAATACCTGAATAATGATGATGTAATGTTGAACTAGGTAAGACATTAAGTACAAGGCTGACAAAGTTTCCAAATGTTAATGCAGTACAAATCACTCATTAATTTCAAACGCTGCAGTTAGGGCTGGGTAAAAAAATCGATTTAATCGATTTTGAATCGATTCCTTTACATTTTTGAAAAATCGATGTCTAGGGAACGAGATTGATTCATTTTATAGTGACCTGCGTGAAAATCACATTCAAATAAGCAGGAAAGATGCACTCAAGATTACTTCAAGCCAGACAGCTGCAAATATAGCGAATAGGTTGACTGAAGACATTAACAAATGGAGGCTGACCAGAAAACAACCCTGTAGTTGTTACAGACAACGCTGCAAATATGGTTTGTGCAGTGAAGATAATGCATCTCATGCATGTTTGCTGTGTCACGTCTACTTGCTCGAGTGAGGCTTCACTTTTTCACTTTTCACAAACAAGTTTGCACTTTTGAGTCAGTTTTGTTCACATCTCATGTTTAAACTGTCTGATTTACAAGTTTGCACTTTGTGTTTAATGTGACAGGAAAAAACAAAATACATGAGTATTTTGAAACACAGTTGAACCACTTTCATTATAGTAAAAACAGATCGAATCGAAATTAATCAATTTAGAACTGTATGAATCAAAATCGAATTGATTCAGGACTTTGGTGAAAATACCCAACCCTAGCTGCAGTATTTGCTTTCTTGACTGCAGAAATTATTCTGTGCCAACTGGACCTTCTTCAGGTCAGTTCCTTTTACTTTTAAGATACATCAGACTGAAACCAAAAAGATTCTGAGTTCAATAAACTCAAGTTTTCTTTATAATTACAATAATACCAAACAGTTTGCTGTGCTAGGCTACAATTATACTCCATTTTAATATGGTTCTGACACAAGGCAGGATGACACAGGCTGGCTGACTAAAAATAAAAACAGAAAACCACACCGATATCAAGATGCTGAAGATCACATTCTTAAAAGACTGTTTGGATGCAATATGTGCAAGGATATCATATTTTAAAATGTTCACTTTTCAAGGCAGTGTTTCAGGCTTTCTGGCCTCTTAAAGCCTCATTCACCAAACTTTTGTATATTTGTAGCAGCTGAGATGCTCACAAGGAAAGGTGTAACCCTGCACGGTACATATCATTATCACAATATCAGTGCAGACATCCTGTGGTTGCAGATGTCACACGAGCGAAGCTCGCCAATTCTAGTTGCAAAACATAATAACCTATACAAGGTAAAGATGCGACAGATGTTCTTTTTTTTAGATTTCTTAGTTTTCCATGACCGGATTTTAAAACAGTGAAATCTGTCTTTTTTGTTAATAAGGCAAACATGCAGTTGTTGTCCTTCAGGCCAGTAGTAGAAGGGCACAGCCTCCATACACAAAATTAAAAGGACAGTGGTACTTTTTTGGGGGATTTCATCAAATGACTTTAAACTACGCATAAACTATTTTGCCAAAAGTAAAAAGAAAAAAAAAATTAGACATTAGACAAGAATTAGAAGATTCTCAGTCATTCAGGTCATAGTCATTCCAAAAAGGTTACAAAACAATCCACTGGACTTTGTTTCCAAGTTTGAAGATTGTTCGCTTTCCATCCCGGAAGCTTTTTCGATTCAAAATGTCAGAAATAGCGTTGAGTTCAAGGCTTTTTAGAGTGGACCAAAAACAAGGCTTTGTTTTTGGTCCACTCTAACAGAGTAGGAATGGGAATCGAAGCGTCTTCAAACTTGTAACATGTTTTTTGGAATGATTTAATTTTTAAATTTTCCTTTTCACTAAACACAAGCATGCAGATATTTCACATCACAACCTTAGCATCTAGAGTTAGCTAGCATTTAGAGTCCATTATCACAGCGTTTAACTGTTGCTGTTGTGGGAAAATACCTTTTTTCTACTGGCATGCGTGGATCTGTGTGCTAGCTGCAAACTTCTCCTCTTTTTTTGTGTAGCGATAAACCCACTTTAAGCATAATGCCGCCGCCTAAAGTTCTGGAGTGAAAAAGTCAATGTCTCTTTTTAAATTATTATCATTAAAGTTTATTTGATAGGGACAGACACACATTTACATAGACAAACTGAATGAAACAGCAGTCCCATGTTTGCATCATGGTGCAATAGCAACAGCTAATTCGCAGCACTTGTCCCTAGATGGGCTTTTAAAAATAACTCTAAAAATTGAAGTGAAATTTGTAATCTGACTAAAATTGAGTTGCTCTGCGATGTGAATATGGTGTTTATGGTGTTTTGTTAGTATCTGCAATATGATTGCAAATGCAAATAATTTCCCAGCCTTATTTTAAACCACAAAAAAATCATAATGGAAAAAAAGTAAGCACTTTAAAAACCTTAACATATTAAAGCTTACCACACCTGAATACTGACCGATTTCTGTATCCAAACTGAGCAGCAGGGACAAAACAAATGTTCCCAGCAGAATAGTGCAGGGTTGCCTCCAAAGTCTTACCTTTGTTTATTTGGACCAACAAGCAGCCTTAGTTTCCAACATCCCTGAGCTTTTCCTGATATAAAATCAGCTAAATACGCTTTAGGGCAGTACATGTAAAGAATAATAGGTTGTTGACAGTAGCTGTATTCCTTGTGTTATGCATAACATAAAAAAAGTTAAATCATTGAGTATAACCTTGTCACTAACTGCAGCGAAACAAAGAGGGCTTATATCCAGTCCTTTCTCATGCTCACTGACTGGTACAATGAATCAAGGCACAAAAAAACAAACTAAGCACTTTGAAACTGTGCAACATGCAGTAACAATGCACAGCCTTGGCAAGAACAGCTTGCACTCAATGTCCTCGGGCCCCATTTTACCCTCTGCAACAGCGTCTGCATCATCTCTCCGGGGCCCAATGGGGATGGAGGGGTGTCGGGCTTAGTTAGCACAGCCTTCACCAAGCAACGTCCAGCTCATTAAAAAATGAGTTCAATGTCACATTTCATCCTTGGTTATCTGTTTAAATGCATTAAGACCTGGAAACTGAATCTCTTGTTTGCAGCAATGACAGGAAGTGTGTTCCAGGTCATTTCAAGTGCTGGATGGGGAATTGTATTTCAGAGGTTTTAGAGGAGTTGTGTGGCTTCCGCTTCCACCGAACAAACACTCATAAAGACATGCACACAAATATAATTGGATCATATTTCAGCGTGCTGCAAATCTAAGCACTTTTGACAGCAACTTGCAATGAAATCAGAACAGCATGCCATTTGTACCAGAATCCTTATTGGAAATAAGTTCAGTAAAAATGCATCAAGCTACAATATGTAATTCTAAGAAGATACAGAGAAAAAGATAAAAGAAAAGAAGACAACAACCTCACTACAACTATTAGGGCGTAGAGACGCCGTTATGAGGGCTGAGTCTGCATGCCATTTAACTTGATGAGTCTCAGGTATATAAAGCAGACCCTCAGTGTTGAACAGACAAGCTACAATGTTAAAGAATTTTTGTTATTTACTGTAAAAACAAAACCACAAAGAGATTCCAGGCATATTCCCAACTTGTTCCTTTTAACCCCTCTTCGTCTGTTTTCCCCTCCTCAGCAAACCTGCTGGAAAATGCATTTAATGCTCCAATTCCGGAGCTGCAGCGAGCAGAGCTTTACTCAGCTGTCCTCCGGGCAGCTCAGCAGAAATGGGAAGATTTCACGCTCCAGAGACGGCGTAGCTCATGGATACAGCCACACTTGGTTGGTAGCTTTTACCACCGGGAGGACTGCAGCAGAAGGATGGTGTGTGCAGCTTTGCATGGAGTCAACAATTATTTTTTTTATAATAAAGCTGACAACATTCCTTAAGGTAAAAAAGCTTCCATGCTGCTGTCCGTTAAACCAAAACATTGTAAATTACTAAGGAAAGACTCGAAATTCCATTATACACATTTCAATTTGATCCTAGATCTAAAACAATGCAGCCTTCCGAAGTGAGTCTCTATAGATCTTCACATTTAACATTGTAAATATAAAAGATTGTCCAATTCGCTTGTTAGAATTTGATGCATTGGTGGGCTTTGTTTCACAGAAAGGTGACTTTAAAGGGACCTGGGAGGGTAGTCAAGGACAGCTGTGTAGAGGACCATACTTTACCAATATTACCCTGTCGGCTGAGCCACAGGGTGCCACGCATATTCTTAATTATAAAATGGCTCAAGCTGATTCTCAGTGGACGGAGATTCTTCATGAACTTTAATCTTTAAATTTTACCACTGATTCTAATTTGGAATCCCGACTGTAAAATCTGTTGTCATCGTACGCATTCCATTGTAGTTTTAGCTGTATGTTTGTGTTCAATGCCCTATTAAAAGGTGAATTTCCACCCTAAAGTCTAGTAGCAAATACAGATCTCTTAACATAAATTCACTATGATGTTTCAAGGACCTTCAGAGACCAATTTCCTAGAATTTAAGAAGCATGTGCGACAGCATTTACCTCCTGCTATCACATAAAGTATCATCTGGGGTTATTTTTACATGGAGATAAAAATTCAGAAAAAGGGCAACATGTTACTTTGAACATTCTGATTGGATTTTGAAGAATGAGAATTAAACTGTAATCCGACAGAGACGGGTAGATATGCCAGTTGACAATCCTTTCGGTGTGAATGTAAACATGATTGGGGATCGTTATTCTGAATAAGGCAACCTGAC